AGAGAGAGAGAGACTGGGTGTCAATCCTGGCCAGATTCCCATCTGGACAGTGTGACTCCAGAGCAACTCAACTGCTCTGGCCCCTGCCGGCATTCATCCACCTAGCATGTTCATTTGTGCATCGGTTTAGTTATTAACTCAATTATTCATTCACTCCATTTGTCATTCACTCCATGTTTGCTTTAAATCCGTACTGTTGTCAGTTCATTCACTCACATCTTTAGTCCTTCAATTATGCATTTGTGTATTTGCTCATTCATTCATTTGTTCCTTCAATTGTCAGTAATAATTCATTCAAGCACTCGTTAGATCACTGAAATGTTCTACCCCCTTTCTGGTTCCACATTCATTTATTCAACGATCCATTAATTCATTTACTTGTGCCCTTTTTCAATTGTACATTTGTTCATTCATTCATTCATCCTTGCCTGTCTTTTTTTATTTCTTCATTTACGTATTTTTTAAATCCTTCATCCCGGTTTCACTCTACTGTTAATTTGTGTAATCATTCCTTTGACCACCCCATCACTCTGCTAATATTTGGTGGCACCTACTATGGCCACTGGGGATATGGACCAGATTCTCTCCCCTCATGGAGGCATTTAGAGGCCTTGGCAAGCATGTCCCCTCTGAAGCTTAGACCTGTTATCTCCACTCTGCAGATAGAATAGGGTCTGAAGGGTCACCAAGTCACACAGGCTACACAGGATAGCTCAGGTAGAAACCTCAGTCTTCTTCCTCAAAAAATATTTTTTGGATGAATCTATAAGTAGGTGCTTGAAAGAATAGAGCTGGCCCGGACTCCAGCCCTGAGGTCTGTCTCCCACGGCTCCTCCAGGAGTGACCTGGGACTCTGGAATGGCCCCAGAAAGGGGGGAGGCAGAGGAAATTGAAATTGGCTGACAATAAGAATTCAACAGCCATAAGGCCCAAGGAAGTCTTCCCAGTCCTCGGGCTCTGTGAGTCTGACCCAGTGCTGTGGGCTACACTTCCAAGCCTTTGTAAAGCTGACCTTCCTTGTCTTGGAGGACTGGAAGAGCCCAAGCCCCTGGGATGGGGCCCTTCACCTGGATTGTTGCTTTGCAGAGCGCGAAGGCTTCTTTGGAGATTAGTGCCACATGCAACAGGCTTTCTGGAAAGCTCAAGTTGGAGGGGTAAGTGACCCTGTGGGGATAAGGAGGCTGCCCATCTACTCTCGGTGTCCATGGGGTAGCAAAGGTCTTACAATCTACATAGCACGGTGTTGCTGCCTTCCTGTTCCCCCATCATCCCTCAGGGTACCGTGAGCACAATATGCCCATTTTGCAGACAGTGAAACTGACGCTCAGAGATGAAACAGCTTACCCATGGTCACACAGTGCAGGGTGATCAATCATCTCAGTTTGCACAGAAGGGTCCCAGTTTTAGCACTGAAGGTCCTGCTTACTGGGACACTGTCAGTCCCAGCACAGCCCATGCCTGAAAATGGATAGTTGACAGGCCTCAGCGAGCCACAGAGTGCCCAGCCGCCCATACCCCTGGCCTTCCTTGCCCTTGGAAATCCCACTTCAGCTTCTTCTCACCACACCCTGAGGACTTCAGCAGCCATCCCCGTCTGGGAAACTCTGGAATCCATGTGACCTGGGCTTGAATCCAGCAGTGAAGATTGTGGTTAGGAGTATGGGCCCTGCAGGGGGGGCTGCCTGCGTTTGAAGAGCAGCTCCCCTCGGCAGGCACCAGAACCCTCCAAATCCCAGTTTCCTTGGCTGTAAAACCAGCCCCCAAGTTATTCTTTGCCAACATCATCACTGTGAGGATGAAGTGAGATCTTACTATGCATTGAAGTGTGTAGAGCCCTTTAAGGGATATAATAAACGCTCAGTAAGCGAGAGGGCAAGAGGAAGAAATATAAAGAAAGAAAGCAATACAGAGATGGAGGGAGACACATAGAAAAGAGAGAAAGACAGATGGGGAGACAGTCAGAGAGGCAGAGGGAAAGAGGGGGAGAGAGAGAGCAGGAGACGACGACACAGAGTAGATGTGACCGACCCCAAACTGCAGGCCGGGGAACACGCCTTTTCATCAGGAGACTGAAGCTGTTTACCTGGAGTCCGGGCCACCTCCCTGCCCGTTTCTGCCTTCTCTCGGCACAGAGCTGTCCTTTCTGACCTTGAGGCCGGCTCTGGAGGTTTACATGCTGCTCATTTCTCCCGGCATCCCTGTGACAAGTGCTACTGCTTCAGAAACCTGTGGGATTTCATTTTTCTGCAACACCCGTGGGCCTTTCCAGTAGAGGAGCCAGAGAGGATGCAGCTGGGTGTTGGCAGAACTCAGACTTTCTGAAATATAAGGAGGGTTGGGGTGGGAGGTATGACGATCCCTAGGGCAGGAACCCTGGGGCTACTGTCTCTTGGGGAGCGGGAGCAAGTTTTCAAACTTGGCTGAGTTATTTGTTGGAGACAACCCTGGCTTTGGCCTTGGGGAGACCTGTCTGAAATCCTGCTTTGCTGATTGCCAGCTGTGTGACCTTGAACACTTGCTTGTCCAGTCTCCTCATATGTAAGATGACAGTTTGGTGGCGCTTGCTTCCTGGACTATGATTAAGTGGAATAAAGCACCCAACACGGTAAATAGCAGAAGTTTAATACATGGCCATGTTTCCCCCTTTATCTCAGAGATCACTGTTAGAATGTTATAATGGCCCTAAGTGGGGGATAGTTTATTGGCTCAGGCAAATGAAAAGCCCACGGGTTTCAGGCAAGGGTGGACCCAGGTGCTCAAATCATGTCCTTTGGAATCAGACTTTCTCCATCTTTTGGTTCTGCTGTCCTCTGCTGGCTTTATTCCCCACCAGGCTGTGACCAAGTGGTGGGAAGACAGTCACTGGTCGCTTCCTTATTTTTCTCGAGAAAGGAGAGTACCTTATTCCCAGCATTCCTAGCAGAAGTCCAGGACCCAGCAAGGGTCACAGGTCCATCCTTGCAGCGATTACTTTGGCAGGAGAGCTGGGCCCTGTGCTTCCTTCAGCTCAGGCCAGACAACAGCACTAACAATGCAGGGAAGGTGCAGAGTCCCCAAAGGAAAGATGGGGACTGTGACCAGAGGAAAGGGGGTGGGCAAACCAGGCCATATCTGCTAGAGCGGAGCCCTTCCCCCCCCCCCCCACAGCGGGGTTCTCACTCTCCTCCTCCCCTTATCACAGGCTGCTCCTGGAACTGAGGCACTCCAATATTTACCCACTCCCGGTAAGTCTGAAGCCCTTGGCTGCACCTTCCTCCTCCTGATCTGGGGGATCCTAAACAGCTCAGGGCATTAGGACTTAGGTTCATTTGCATATAATTTGGTGGTGAATTGATGGTTGGAGGAGCTCCCTGGGCAGAGAGACCTGAGCGGGGACCTTGGGCAAGTCACTTCCCTTCTCTGAATATCAGACTCTCCCCACCTGAGTTGGCGCAGGGGGCTTCAAATGAGATGAAACGTGCACAATTCTGTCCAGAAAAATCTGCCCAACAAATGTTTGCCGACTGGACAAATTAATGACTTTCCTGGGCACCTGTGATGTGCTGGGTACTGTTCAGGTGTGGGGGTCCCCCTCCACCATGAACACGGCAGGGAAGCAATGCCTCTCCGTGCCCGCCCTACCTGGTGGTGGGAAGACAGACCAGTAAGAAATGGACAATGTAACGGATGTCATTCCAGCCACAGTCACATGAGCTGTGAAAAACAACAAAACTGTCACATGGGCATGGGCTAGAAAGTGATGGGGAGAATTAAGGGTTAGAACAGTGATTTTCAACCGGTCTGCTGTGAGAGGATCTTAGGTGTGCCACAAAAATTTTTAAAGATCATTAATTAAATTATTTTCTAAAGAAGTTCAAAGCATAGTAAGTATATTCTTTTTTTTTTTTACCCTTTTATTTTTTGATCCATATAATTTAAGTGTGCTGTGAAAGTTTAACTATAGGTGCAAGTGTGCCATGAGATTAAAAAGAAATGTTGAAAGATGCCAGGTTAGAGGATGTGATCATGGAAGGCCTCTCTGAGGAGGATACTTTGGGGGCTGAAGGATGACAAGGAGCTAATAGAGGGACCAGCAGGGACAAAGGCAACAAGGGTGGCATGTGTGGGGAAAGGAGAAAGCCAATATAGCAAGAGATGGAGAGAGGCTGGCTCACCCAGGGCCTCAATGAGCCCCCGGTGTGCTGTTCCCTACAGGGAGGGACGGGATCTGATTTCCACCTTCATAGAAGCTCCCCTTGGCTGGGGTAGGGGCAGCGGGCTGCAGACCAGCAGGATCAGCGGAGAGGCTGGTGTGGTTGTCTGTGGGAGATGGTGAGAACGGGGACTCTGCCAGGCAGAGGGAGACAGATGGCAGACTGCAGACAGGTTTTGGAAGGAGATTTGGTGGGAGATTTGACGTGTGTGCTGGGGGAGGAACCGCCAGGGTGACTGCTGGGGGCTGGAGGGAGCAGCTGAATGAAGTTGCTGGCTGAGAGGGAGAAAGGAAAGAAAGTGGGAGAGGAGACGCAGGGTCACCCCAGTCCATGTGGATGATTCCACCACCCCTTGGGAATCTCTGTCCATCCTTAAGGAGGCCTGCCCATCTGTGGCGGCACTAGAGGAGATGCTGGGGGGAAGTAGTAAGTAGTTGCCCGTGCTATTCACCACTGACCAGAGCATCCACACTTTCATCGTACATCAGACACCGTGATGTGTTAATTCTGTCCAAAGTCTTACTACACTGGCCCCAATCTTCTGGTGGGCTTCTGGTTGAAGCCCAGTTCCCACTGCTCTGCAGAACATTTCTTTAGATCCCTGAGATGCCCCCCAAGTTCCCCACCAAGGGAATGCCTTGTAAGCCATCCAGCTCCAGAGTCCCCTCTAAATCTGATAGAAACCCAGCCAGCCATTTCCACCTAATGAGTTTACAACAAATGGGAGGACCAAATACAACCGCATTGCATTTTCACAGATTTACTGGTGCCAAAGCTCCCTCAGTGATCTGCTTCTGCAGAAAATAAAAATGTAAAGTTCCCAGAATTCGTAGGAAGGAGGGCACTACGTTTGGTCAGGCCAAATGGAATTATAGCCCAGGGAAGGAGACTCAATTATTACAGAAACAGAAACATATATTTTTACAAGTTATACGTGTCACACTACATACAGTTATCTTGAGGGTTTTACACTATTTCTGGATTCTTTCTTTATTATTACTGAAGCAAAACATATGTACTAGACAGGAATCAGAACCTACAGATTTGCAAAATACAGACCATATTTTCATTACTTAGTTAATAATTTGGAGTACATACTTCCTGATTTTTTGCTATCCCTATTTCATTAAAAAGATGGAATTATATGGCTTCGATAGCCTGCTTTTTCTCCCTCAAAAATGCATCACAAATATCTGTGTTGGTAATTATATTTCTTTTTTTTTGTTTGTTTGTTTTTAAAGATAGTGTCGCTTTGTCTTCCTCAGTAGAGTACTGTGGCATCATAGCTCACAGCAACCTCCAACTCTTGGGCTCAAGCAATCCTCTTGCCTCAGCATCCCAAGTAGCTGGGACTACAGGCCCCTGTCACAACACCTGGCTATTTTTAGAGACAGAGGTCTCACTCTTGCTCAGGCTGGTCTCGAACTCCTGAGCTCAGGCAATCCACCTGCATTGGCCTCCCAGAGTGCTGGGCTTGAGCCACCTCACCAGGCCTACAATATCATTCGGAGCAGTGGTGTAATATTTTTTAGTGCCAAAGTATCATGGTTTCCCCCAAGTGATTTCCCTATTGTTCACCATGTGGGTTGCTTTTAATTTATTGTGTTGTTAAATTTATCACTTCAGTAAGCATCCTTGCATCTAATTTTTCCCTACACCTTATGATTTCCTTAGGGTAAATGCCTTGGAGGCATGTTTGCCACCCAAAAAGCCCACACATTTTTGAGGCTTTTGATGAACATTGCCAAATAGCCCTCCAAGAAGTCAATCCAGTTTGCCTCCTACCCTGCAATGTCTGAGAGAATGCTTTTTTTTTTTTCTTTTAGAGGCAGGGTCTCATTCTGTCGCAAAAGCTGGAGTCCCAGTGGCACGATCACAGCTCATTGTAGCCTCCAACTCCCAGGTTCAAGCAATCCTCCTGCCTCAGCCTCCTGAGCAACTGGGACTACAGGCATGCACCACCATGCCCATATTTTTTATTATTAGTTTTTGTAGAGACAGGGTCTCACTATGTGTCCAGACTGGTCTCAAACTCCTGAGCTCAAGCAATCCTCCTACCTTGCCCTCCCAAACTGCTGGGATTATAGGCATGAGCCATCACGCCCAGCTGAGGATGCATTTTTTTAACCAAGGTTTCACATTTAAATACACTCTGGTAACCTTTCTTATTGTCATAAAGTATGAGGCCTTGCACCTTACAATTTAGAACATGCTTTATATCTGGGACCATTAGAGCAAAGAAATCACTTCTGGGACCTTGATTGGGTTGCCAGGTTTTCCTATTATCATACGTGTCTACCTCGCAGCAGCTTTCCCAGCTATGAGGTCACTGAGCCCCACTGGGTGGAAGGGAGGATTTGGAGGACAGCTAATCCTAAGGTGCCCTGATGACATGGGTCTTATTCTCCTTCTGATTCTCAGGTTGAATCGCTGCAGGCTATCATGGACTATGTCATGCCCACGCTGGTGCTTCCCAAGATTAACCGTAAGGAACTTTGGAGAAACTATTGTTTTTGCATCATGGGGAAAGAGGTTGAGGTTGATTACCTAGAGGCTCCTGACACCCAGCTCCCATTGTAAGACCTGGGGGGTAGTCACCTCAAGTGAACCTTAAATGTCACCTAACCAGTGGGCTGAGTTCCTACCACATGCTTCTCCATCATGTAGCTGCCCTTACAGCAGCCCCATGAGACAAAGGCTCATTTTTCATGGGAGGAAATGGAAGATCAGAATGGCCTAGTGACTTAATCTCAGGTCACACAGCAGACAAGAGCTAAAGCTCAGATTTGATCTCAGCTCTGAAGCCAGAGCCTAGGGTCTTTTTCCAACTCCGGAAAAAGGACAGCGGGTCTCCTGCTAGCCTGAAGAGCTTTAGGTAGGCTTGCCTCTAACCCTCAAGAGCCAGGGGCACAAGTACAATAGAGGCCCATGTGACTAGGATGGTTAGAAACTCAAAATTAATCCAACAAATTACTATATAGAATATGATCCATTTTTCTCCCTTGACAAATGTAGCTTCATAATGACCTGGGAGACTAGGTTCACATTAAGAAGTCTTAGAGTTCCACATCAGAATGGGAGGGGAGCTGACCCTGGCCATTTGCTTTCGTTCTACATTGAGAGGGTTTGTGCACACATGCATGTAGATACCCCTAATCACACGTCCATGCTCTGCCCACACCATTGCAAGCAGCTGGCCCGTGGCCTATGCACAGATGTCGTGTACATTGGGAGGACTGCGCCCTCAGCAGGGCAGTCATGGGGAAGAGGTCCACACAAGTCCTGGAAGTGGGCTTGGGGCTAATGAAGAACAACAGAGGGAAGGTGTGGACTCCAGGGCAGCCTTCCTTTCAGACACCTGCAGCCCTGCCGAGTCCCCACTGCAGGCCAGCACGCAGGTCCATGGGGGCTGCCTATCCTGGCTCTCTGACCTCCTCCCAACCCCTGGTCTTCACCTCTGTTCTCCATCACAGAGCGGTTGCAGAAAGGTTTCCGTCTCCCCATGCCTGACCGAGTCCATCTGTACAACCTGATGTTGCAGTCTCAACATGTGAGTGTGCAATGTCTCCTTTTTGACAAATCTCCCACCATGGTGACCTATTGCTGGAATGCTTCCTCTATGCCAAGCCATGTATCAAGTGCTCTCCTCCCTCCCAATAACCCTGGGCTGTGGGTGCTGTTAATAAACAGAGTAGAAAGACCACGGCTCAGAGAAGCCACACAGTATGAAATGAAGTCCAGTTTCAAAGCCAGGCTCCCAACTTTGAACCATCACTGCCTCATTCCCACACTACTCTTGACAAAAATGGAACTCATTTAGTATCCAAAGAGCTTCTTATAAGGTGAGTGCATTTAAATATTTCTTTTTTTTTGAGACACAGTCTCACTCTGTTACCCTGGGTAGAGTGCCATGGCATCATAGCTCACAGGAACCTCAAACTCCCAGGCTCAAGTAGTCCTCTTGCTTCAATCTCCAAGTAGCTGGGACTATACGCACCCACCACAGCACCTGGCTGGTTTTTTCTATTTTAGTAGAGATGGGGTTTTGCTCTTGCTCAGGCTGGTCTCGAACTCCTGAGCTCAAACAATCCACCCGCCTCAGCCTCCCAGAGTGCTAGGATTACAGACATGAACCACCATCCCTGACCACATTTAAATACCTTGCAAATATATGTCAAACACATGCCTTCTTTTGTACCCGGAATCATGCGAGGCGCATGTATTCAGTGTCTGGCAGATTTAGGCCCAGCACAGGAGGCTTCCTTATGGCTTTTGCCCAGTCTGACCTCCATGGGCACTTGACATTGACCCCTCTCCCTAGCATGCTCTCTTCTCTTAGTTTCCAGCACGTCCCAACAAAGCTGTTATCTTTGCAACAAAACCATCTCCCAGCACGACAGACCTTACCTCGGTCAAGGGCTTTCCCAGTAACTCATGGCCCTTATGAGACGCTTCCACATCACCCTCCTCACTCCCCCTTACCGTCAATATCATCAATCAATCCCCAGTTTTTAAACACAGCTGCAAGAGCAGAGGAAAACACATTCTCTGTGTTTCCCACATTGTACTAAGTTCATCCATTAAAAAAGAAAAAAATTAAGACCCCATGGCACAATTTAATTTCTTCGTTTCTGAAAATTCTGAGTGAAGGACACAAAGGAGCAGAGAGAAGTGGTTTTGCAGCCTTGATTGGAACAAGGGCTCTCTTGAGCTGCCATGATAACCGAAGGCCTCCCAAACAGCCTGGGGGCCTCCGCGCCTGGAAGGAAGCTGCTGCCAGAGGCGCTGCTGACAGATCCACCAGCACGGGCAGCTGCTGATGTGCAAACCCCAATGACCAGACCCCAAGGGCCCCCACCACCAGCCCTGGGCTTTCCCTCGGCAGGCAGCCTCCCAAAGTTTCCTTCTTAAAACCCTAGCAGCCCTGCACCCACAAACCAGGGGTGCGCCTCCAAGTGATGACAGCACCTCCTCTCTCTCCCTAGAATTTCCTGCTGTTCAGTGCAGATGTTCATCATGACTGAAGGCGCGGGGGGTGCTGGAGGCTGTCACAGCACCTGTTCCTGATGGGCCACGAGGCACAGGCCACCTTTCTCCAGGGAATCCTCCCTAGATCTTCACTAAGAAACCCCTCACAAACTTCTCTGAACTCCTACTCAGAAATGATGTAAACGTGGAGAACTTTGCTCACTGGAAAAGTGTGTGTTTTAGGGATTATGAGCTTCTTTCAAGGGTGAAGGCTGCAGTGCATGTTTTCCCCAGAAATTGTGTTTCAGTTGTAACCACGATATTTCCCTATATGCTTCACAAAAAAAAGAGAAAAAAGAAAGAAAGAAAGAAAGAAAAACCTGTTGTTTCTTCTCCTTGTGGATTCTGTGTGCTGGTATTATTTCTTGTTTTGTTTGTTCATTTATTTATTCATTGGCTGTAACCAGTGTGGCCTGCAGCAGCGAAGTACAGCACAGATACAATCACTTATTTTTATTTCTGTAATTAATCTCTTGACGTCCCCACATGCCTACATTAGCAGAAAGTCTCATTGTGCAAAGCGTCCTTGGGATTTTCTTAGTCCAAACTCCTAATGCCATGTAGTCTGAAGAATATATATGCCACTGGGCTGCCACATGGTGTCGCTGTTGAATGGTGGTTCTGTACAGACTTTTGCCAGTACAGTCGTCAATCAACTGGGACTGTTGTTCCTGCCACGACCACACGGTGTCGCTATTTAATAGCTGTCCTGCACAGCCTGTCTTCCCTACCCCACACCTGAGCTCCGTGGTAATGACTCCCTTAGTCCAGACTCTCTTCCCAGCCATTATGCCCAAAGCAGAACACTGGGCCAGATTAGAGACCATTGAGGTTTTAGCTTCAATCACATCTTTGGGAGCAATTAGTACCGCCCCATGACTCTCCAGGCCCAGTGCAGAAGCAAGATCACCAGCCCAGACTGTGTTTGGATTTATGGTGACTTTCTTTGGGGACTTTGGGCCATTTCCTGACTTGGGACATTAAGTGAGCTATCTCAACATTCGATGCGTCTTTATCACTTTGTGCTTCTAACTAATTGAGTCCTGGAAGGCCTGTCTGAGCTGTTGGCATTTGGTCTGAGACCAGAAGAACAAACAACAGTACTTTGGCAGGATTTGATGCAGATGGTGGCATGGGGGATGACATGGCAAGATTTAGTTTTTAAAATATTTTGTTGTGACTTCTGAAAGCATGGGGGGGGTGGCGCCTGTGGCTCAAAAGGGTAGGGCGCCGGCCCCATATGCTGGAGGTGGTGGGTTCAAACCCAGCCCTGGCCAAAAACAAAACAACAACAACAACAACAACAAAAATGAAAGCATCGGCTCGGCGCCTATAGCTCAACCGGCTAAGGCGCCAGCCATATACACCTAAGGTGGCGGGTTTGAATCCCCAGCCCAGACCCGCCAAATAATGACGGCTGCAACCAAAAAATAGCCGGGCGTTGTGGCGGGCGCCTGTGGTCCCAGCTACTTGGGAGGTGGAGGCAGGAGACTCGCTTGAGCCCAGGAGTTGGAGGTTGCTGTGAGCTGTAATGCCACGGCACTCTACCGAGGGGGACAGCTTGAGGCTCTGTCTCAAAAAAAAAAAAAAAAAAAAAATGAAAGCATCAGAAGGGCAAGAGTGGAAGAGGATAGGTATAAATTAGAAATCTGTTGTTCAGACTTCAACCAGGTTGGTGATGGCAAAAATGGAGAGAAGCATTTGTAGTGAGCAAAGGCATATAAAAGATATTTATCTTATTTGCTTCTTAAAGAAAAATGCACACACTTCTGCTAACATCATTGATTCTCTGTTAAATGGAGGTAGAAGCTCTGGGGCCACACAGGAAGGGAAGGCCATTGATCAAACACAGGAGTCAAGCACAGCACATGAATCATCTCCCTTGATCATCATAACACTCTCCTTACCCCAAGGTGGGAATTGTTCAATACTTTTAGATTGAATTACTCTCCCCCGATCACACAGCTGGCAAGTGGCAGAGCTGAAATTCCAATCCTATCTGATATCAGAGCCTATGCCCTTTCAACTTCTCCCAGATTTTCAAATCTTATCTGTTCAGAGTCTTGGCATGGTTAGGGCAGGACTGCTATGTTCAGTTGCATAGGATGTGCACAAGAAAGAGAGGAAGGAAGGAAAGAATTCAGCTGAGAAAACTATTTCTCTAATTTGTCCACCAGGAGAGTACACATTTTTATTTTTGGCAGAGGCCAGTGGAGGACCCAAATAGGAACAGAAGAGCCACCAGCAAGGCTGAAGAAGAGAGCAAAGGGAAGCACAGCATGGGTTGAGGCTGGCAGGCCATGAAGACTCTTAGGGAGTCTTGAGTTTTATTCCAAAAGATAAGCAAAGCCATTGGAGAGTCCTGAGCAGGAAAAGGTCACAATCCAACTCAGATTTTAAAAGACCCCTTTGGCTGCAGCGGGGAGAATAACTGGTAGATACTGAAACACAGACTTGCCCGTCCCCTTTCCCCTTCCTCTTCCCCCCTTTCCCCTCCCCCCTCTCCTTCCCCTCCCCTGCCCCCTTTCCCCTCCCTCTCTTCCTCCCCACCTTCACTTCCTGTCCCATCTTTCTCTTGGGAGATAGTTGGCCCCTCCTACACCTGCCCCCCACTTCCTAAAACATCCTGGCAGCCCCCCTGCTCCACTCTCTACAGAAAAACTTCACTTATGTCTTGGACCTTAAGGTTGGTAAGAGGAACGCACTGTGCCTGGGGCCTTCTCTCTAGTGGCTGAGAAAAGGCGGTGGTTCTTGGGCTAGGATCTGACAAGCATTCTCCAGCTCGCTCCAGATGTTCTGCCAAGCTGCCACTGGAACCACTGTTGGAGCAGCTTCTCCCTTCAGGCTAAACATTGTTCCGAATGACTGCTAATGCGAATGGGGGTGTCTTTGGTGGTGTTGCAAGTGTTCTAAAATTAGATTGTGGTAATAGTTGCACAACTCTGTGAATATACTAAAAACCACTGAACTGTATGAAAGTTATGATCTATGAAATATTATTAATAAAGTGGCAAAAGAAATTAAAGGGGAAAAAAAGAAAGAATTGTCCACTCCAAACTGCCCGAAAGGTCACCATTAGAGCAACTTCCCTTCCAGAATGAACAGTGCCCTCTTGGCGTATTGGAAATGCTGATTTATTAAATATGAGGGAAGGGAACCCAAGGGTGGGAGAGAAGGGAGGGTCACAGGAAGATTAATCACTGCGTTCACCCGTTTGTAATTTCTCACTAGTGGCCATGCACGGTCCTGCCCTGGGTCAATCTCTTTGGGTTTACTAACCCATTCAGGCCCAACGATAACTTCCAGAGGTAGACAGGGTGGCTCTCGTTTTCCAGATGAGGAGTCTATAGAGAGATAAGGTGGCTGGCCTGCCCGAGGTGGCTCAGCTCAGTGTTCAGAGCCTAAACTCTGGAGTCACCTGACCCTCGTTTCAGACGTGAGCCCCCACTCCTCCCATGAGCTGCGTGATGGTGCAAACCTCTCTGGTCCTCTATTTCTTACTCTGAAAAGGACTGATAAAGCCTTGCTATCTTCTTTGGTGTGGGGTCATTGGGAGGAATCAGAGGCATAAACGGTGAGCTCGTCACACAGTGCTGAAGAGCATCAGTGCTGGTCCCAGACATCGTGGGTTCAAATCTCAGCTCTGCTACTTACTTGCTGTGTGACCTTGGACAGTTTACTTAATTCTTTGGTCTTCACTTTTCTCCTCTGTAGAGGGACCATCATAATAGTATTTACCACCTAGAGTTGCTATCAGAATCACGAGTATCAGAGTAGCACTAATGGTACTAAATACAATTCCCACTATACTGCAGCAACATTCTAGCCTACCACATAATGGGTAATCAATAAACATTTATTTTATAAATGAACTGAGATTTAAACCAACATCTGCATGACCCAAAGCCATTACGTCAATGATTCTCAAAACATGATCCAGGGCTGTCTGCCTGGGCCTGACTCTAAGACGCAAAGCCTCTGGCAGGCCAGAAGTCACTGGGCTTATCCTCTGCGGTTCAGTAACAGGCTCACAGCGTGGCCTGGGCCAGTCCTTCTCCCTCTCTAGGTTGCTGTTTCCTCTTCTGTAAAAGCAGGAGCTCTCTGGAATTCAGGAAGAGAATTCAATAAAGTGAGCTCTGGCAAAATTAAAGAATCTCTTCGGGCTGAGAAACTGTCATTTTAACAGAAACTCCTTGGCGTCCCCAAAACTATCAAGACCCAATAAAATGAGGCAACTCCTGGGATCTTAGATGCTGCCAAATACATAGGCAAAGAGGGGGTGGGAGGAAAGATGGGAAGTGAGGTCCTCAAGCTCCTTAGATTCCTCCGGTGGGGGGCTATGTACCCACGAGACCAGCCCTGCCCCAAGGGTAGGTGTCACATACTCTTCAAACCACACTAGATTGGCACTGCCATTAGTATTTTTGTTTCTTAAACGCACTGCCTCAGAGCTTGTGTGCACGTGCTGTGTGTGCATCGTGTGTACGTGGATCTGCAGGTGACGGGGCTGGGGAGGGAGCTGCCGTAAATACTAAGCACCCAACAGAGATTCAGAATCGCAAGTCTTCATAACATCATTCTCTTCCAACAAGAGCCAGTGTTCCCAGGAGTGCGGGCACCGTCAAAGAAAACTGTTGAAAAGGAGAGTGAACAGAGTTATAGAATCGCTGAGCTTGGAGGAAACTCCGAGCTCATTCAGTCCCTCGTTCCCTGAAGCACCATCTACTGTCAGCAGCATCCTGGCGTCACCTGGGAGCTTGTTAGAAAGGCGGGAGGCTCAGCTCCCTGAAGGAACCCGAAGAGTCAGAATTTGCATTTAAACTATACATCCCTGGAGATTCGCCTAAACCCCAGTTTCTGAAACCCTGTCCTGGTCCCAGCCCTCATTTACATTTAGGGGAAAGTGAGGAACGGAGAGGGGTGGCATGTGCCCCAAGTCCCACACGGTCTCAAAGACTTGTTGCAGACTGGAGAAGAATTCAAAGCTGTCTGCAAGAGACAGGCATTTGCAACAAAGCATCGGTAAGTACAGAAGAAAGGCTCCGTGTGGCTATTCACGTCCATCAGGGTCCAGAAGGAAACCAGAATCCAACTCCCACCCTCTTGGGTTTTTTTGGAGAGAGTCTCAAGCTATCGCCCTAGGTAGAATACCATCGTGTCATCATAGCTCACAGTAACCTCAAACTCTTGGGCTCAAGCAATCTTTTTGCCTCAGTTTTTCTATTTTCAGTAGAGACAGGGTCTCGCTTGTGAGCTCAAGCCATCCACCCACCTCGATCTCCCAGAGTACTAGGATTACAGGCGTGAGCCACCCGGCTGCTCTTGGGGTTTGAATGGAGGGACTATTTATAGAGTTGGGGGACAGACTTGAAGAAACCAGTCATAGACTAGCATCCCCAGGCTCAAGGCAGCAAAGAAAGGTGTCTGGGTATCCCAACCCAGTGGGAGCAGGAGCCACAGGCCAGGGACTAGCAGGGGGACACAGCCACTGCCCAACCTGTGTTCTAAGAGCAGAAGGGAGCAGGGAAAGTGTCCTGACCCCTGACCCCTGACCTCCTGCCATGCTCCTCCTTTGGCCCAGACCAACTAGAGAGGAGGGAACTGAGTCACAGAGTGCCCCAGGTCACCCAGTGGGGGAGTCAGGACTCACACTCGGGCCATCTGGCCCCAGAGTCCGTGAAGATCAACAAAGTGTGTTCATTCCTTTGGCAATTATCTACCACGTGCTGTTCAGAATTCCAGGCACAGGATTACAAACTGTGGGTTTTCCACAGTCTTTTCAATCAACACTTAGTCAGAATTCAACAAACACCCTCCTTGTTAAAAAAGAGGGTGTTTTCCCTGCAACAGGGCTGGAGGGTGGCCAGGACAGCAGCTGCCCCTGTTGTGGAAGTGGAGAGACAGCCTCTGGGAAGAAAGGCCCAGGGGCTCTGGCCAGCCTTGGGGTCACACTGTTTCCCGAGACCTCTGCTGGACCCTGGACCATCAGCAGGAACCTTAGCCAAGTGGGCCCCTGTGAGGGTGGAGGCCTGGCCTGGGGCCACCTGGCAGCTCTGAGGTACAAATATTGCTGCTCTGGGAAATTCCCACCTCTGCAAACAGCTCCCAGCTGGTGACATCCTCAAACTGCTGCCAGAGAGTGACATCCATGACCCCATGAGGTGCCCACGCTCCTCCCCACCTGCACAGGCAGGGTTCCAGGCCCCACAGGACATCCCAGGGAGCCCCTTCCTGTCCCCAGGTCTCCTGATAGCTGGCTCCTTCCTATTCTTAGGTTTCCACTTAGCAGGTGGCCTCCCCGGAGAGTCTGCCCTGACCCTTGTTTTGGAATGATCCCAGCAGTGTCGCAAGCAGGTTCCAGTTCCTGTGCCTCCTCTTCCCGCTCTCAGGAAGCACCCTCCCTTGGGCACTGCCCCCAGCCCTTGGCTTTGACTACTTAAGGGAGCCAGGCCCAGCCACATCTGTAACAGTCCTGGCACAACCCACTGGGATTCCAGAATGGGGGTCCTGCCCAGGGCCCTGCCATCCATACTGCTGGGGTTGCTGCTGACATCCACTCCAGGGTCTCTGGGTGCCAACCCTGGCCTGGTCGCCAGGATCACCAACAAGGGCCTAGAGTATGGTAAGAAGCTGCCACTGGTGGCCCCCGACCCGGGCCCCATCCTGCTCTGAGCATGGCAGGCAGCCCAGACTGGGCACTTTCCCCCGGGTGGCACAGCCTTCTGAGTTGGGCAGCTCTGGCCAGGAGTCTGAACATTGTCATCTATCAGCTGAGTGACTTGGGCACAGACTTGTGTTAGCTGAGTTCCCTGCCAGCAGCCAGGGACAAAGGTTGGGGTGCAAGTAGTCGATGTGGGAGACTACTCTGGGGACACTGCGGGGGAGTGGGAATGGGAGATAGAGATGAGAAGGCAGCCGGGAGAGGGTATGTTATTAAACCAGCCACCGCCCTGGGGACTGAAGCAATTTTGCTGGGAAAATGCTTCAAGTTTTAATGCTTTAAAGTTTGAAAACATACAAAACTAGAAGTCAGAACCATGGTCACCTCTAGAGTCAGGAAGAGACCCAGAAGGGCATGAGGGAGTCAAGGGGGTGCTGGAATGTGCTGTATTTTGATCCAAGTGGTGGTCACAGGGATGTATAAAAATTTAAAAATTATAGGCTGGGCATGGTGGTTCCTGCTCATAATCCTAGCACTCTGGGAGGCTGAGGCAGGTGGATTACCTGAAATTCAAGACTAGCCTGAGCAACAGCAAGACCCCATCTCTACAAAAAATAGAAAAATTGGCTCGGCGCCTATAGCTCAACCGGCTAAGGCGCCAGCCACGTACACCTAGGGTGGCGGGTTCAAATCCCCAGCCCGGACCCGCCAGGCAACAATGACGGCTGCAACCAAAAAATGGCCGGGCGTTGTGGCGGGCGCCTGTGGTCCCAGCAACTTGGGAGGCGGAGGCAGGAGACTTGCTTGAGCCCAGGAGTTGGAGGTTGCTGTGAGCTTTAATGCCACGGCACTCTACCCAGGGGGACAGCTTGAGGCTCTGTCTCAAAAAAAAAAAAAAAAAAAGAAAAGAAAAATTAGCCAGGGGTGGTGGCAGGTGCCTGTATTCCCAGCTACTTGGGAGGCTGAGGCAAGAGGATCTCTTAAACCCAGCCTGGGCACAAGAATAAGACTCTGCATCAAAAAAAAAAAATTATTATAACACTACCTTTGAATTTAGTGCCTATTAGGCACTTTATTATTTTTTCTTTTTTTTTTTAATTTTGTAGAGACAAGTGGTAAGACTATTACATTTATTTTCTTAATAAACATACAGTTGTCCTTCCTTCTTCCTTCCTTCCTTCTGGTTTTTTGTTTGTTTGTTTGTTTTTAGACAGAATCTCAAGCTTTCACCCTGGGTAGAATGCCGTGGCATCATAGCTCATAGCAACCTCAAACTTCTGGGCCCAAGTGATCCTCTTGCCTCAGCCTCCCATGTAGCTGGGCCTCCATAGCCCCACCACAACGCCCAAATAGTTTTTCTCTTTTTCATAGAGAGGAAGTCTCACTCTTGCTCAGCTGGTCTCAAACTCCTGAGCCCAAGGGATCCTCCCACCTTAGCTTCCCAGTGTGGTAGGATTATGGGGGTAAGCACTGTGCCCAGCCCTATTAGCTACTGTGTATATCTTATTCCTCAATTTAAAACAATGTGCTCAAGTAAGACTATCTTTTCAAAATATGCTGAAACAAAGCCTCAGGATTATATTATCCCAGTGGCAAGGGGGCTTGGGGATTTATACCCCACCGCGATTGATTGAAGATTCCTGGGCAGGGGGATGTCACCTCCCCAGCACTTTGGCCCTGCTGTGTGTGCCAACTTTCCATAGTTCCAGGACAAAGAGACTCAAAGAGGCAGACATTAGCAGCCTGGAGTCAACGGTCACTCCCTGGAAGAACTCGGGGATATGGGTGGACAGTGACTGCATGTGCTCCTCACATTGCCTTGTCTGTGAAATGGAATAATAGCATTCCTTCAAGTAGGGTTGTCGGAGCTCAGATTGGCCAGAGGTAGAGAGAGAAATCACAGAAGGCTTCCAGGAGGAGGTGAGGTAGAAAAGACAGTGGGAATTACCCAGGGATAAGGGGCAATGGAAGAGAACCAGTTAGAAAGAAGTGGAAGGGGAGGCCCCTGGCCATCTGTGTACATATGCCTGCCTTGGGGACAGAATCCCTCTTATCCCAGGACAAACAGTGGGTCCTGTTTGTATTGAAAGCCTAAATGAGGAGGGATTGGTTTTTGTTCCTTTTCCACACTGCAAACATACCGTGTTTATGTAACAATCTTCTAAAGTTGAACATTTTGGTCCTTTCCGTATTTTTTATAATATAAACCTTTCTATGCTGTTCCAGGCATTTGCTGAGTGCCTACTGTGTGCCAGGCACCAAGATATAAATGCCCCTTGTTGCTTTGCAGTTACGACCTGATGCCTTCTACTCTTCATGCCACCTTAGTGAGAAAGTAATGTTGTCATTGTTATCTTTTATTCCGCCCTTAGAAACAGGGTCTTGCTATGTTGCCCAGGCTGGTCTTGAACTCCTGGCCTCAAGCAATCTTCTTGCCCCAGCCTCCTAAAGTGCTGGGATTACAGGCATGAGCCACCATGCCCAGCCAGTCAGATTTGACAGATGAACAAAGTGAAGGTTTGTTAGTCACCCAGCTAGGAAGATGCCAAAGCCAGTATTCTAGTCCCCCAGATTCTTCCAGTCTCTTGTACACAAGCCAGACGGCACGGAGGTGGGAAAGAGGACCACACACCCAAACACACAGCACTCATGGGGAGCTGTTGGAAAGGCGTTCTATTTCCTCATCTGTAAAATGGGCACAAACCTAACAAAGCCACATGAAATTCAGGGATGCCCCCAAGGGTTCCCCATGCTACTGGGTTCAAGAACCTGTAACTGTAATTCATGCTAAGAAGGATGTCGGCCTCTCTCCATAGGGCAGGTGGGAGCCACGAAAAGGTTTAGAGCAAGAGAGAAAGGCAGGTGGACCAAGCTGACTCCCAGTCTTTTCCTTTCCACAGCGGCCGAGGAGGGGCTGCTGGCTCTACAGACGTTGCTGCGCAGGACCACGCTACCCGACTTCTCGGGGGACTTCAAGATCAAACATGTCGGCCGTGGGCAGTATTCATTCCACAGGTGGGAATATCCCTCTGCTGGGACCCCAAGATGGGTGAGGGCTGGAGAAGGAGAGAGAGAGCCCTAAAGCTGGGTTGGGCTCCCTCCTGGGGCAGACAGTGGGATGGTTCCTAGAGGGATACAGAAGGAAATTATGGGATGGACTTAAGTTCCTCCATTCATTCATTCAGCAAATATTAATGGAGACCTACTGGCTGTGTGGCCTGAGCCTCAGTTTCCTTCTCTATAAAGTGGGTTGGATACAGCTCCCTCCTTCAGAGGGATAATAAGATCCAGTCTTGCCGGTGGATACAGACTAGCAAGAAAGAGAGACCTTAAACTTTAAATATAGGAGCCCACTGTTAGAGCTGAAGTTTCACCTGGGGGATTCAGGGAGGGCTTCCTGGAGGAGGTGGGCATTTGAGTTGAGTCATCAAAGGATGAGCAGACTGGAGCACCTGAGCTTTTTAAAAAGAGGCAAAGTGCTTTTTGCGGGTTGGACAATGGAGGGAGGGCAATCAGGCCCCTTCCCACTTCATTCATTCCTCCTTTTTTAAATTCAGTCCATTAACAAACATTTATCAAACACCTACTATGTCCCAGGCAAAGAAAACGAAACTTGAAACTTGACCATTTTCCTTCACACACAGTTGCCTTGTCAGCCTCTTTTGTGTCATCTCTTAAGGTGGCCACTGTCTTTCCTGAATCTAATTCATCTACCTGGACCTGTGAAGAGAGGGGAGCTTAGAAGAAGGGACTCTCTGCAGGCTCTATTCAGAATGCCACCAGGGTCATGAGATTCGTGGGTTCTAATCCTGAGTGTGCAAATAAGTGTGGACGATCACACCTCTTCTTCAAGGTTCTATTTCTCTCTCTATGGAAAGGTGAAAAGAACATGTGTGATCCCCTCTGTGAGGCCTAAAGGGTACAGGAAGGTAAAGTGCTCAGCCTGGTCACATAGCTGCATGGTCACAGGTGTTCCATAACTGGAGGACCTCCATAAATGGCCCAAGCCAGGTCCTGCTAGTCCAGTCACCACCATGGTGATGAGAGGGCTACAAAGACTCAAGCAGTCCCTGGTGAGGCCAGGAAAGGCCCAGCTGACACCTTCCACTGTGTGTCTCCCTCCAGCCTGGACATCCACAGCTGTGAGCTGCGTGGCTCTGCTCTGAGGCCCCTCCCAGACCATGGCTTGAGTCTCAGCATCTCCGACTCCTCCATCCGGATCCAGGGCAGGTGGAGGGTGCGCAAGGCATTCCTGTAAGTTGATGCTGCTCCTTGGCCATCAAGCCCTTGGCCGTGACTTCTTCCTCCTTGGGTCCAAGGTGTTTCCAGCTCATCAGAAAATCCCCATGATTAAGGTGACCAGACATCTGGCTTTTGGCGGGACAGTCCTGGTTTTTAACAATTTGTCCCGTATCTGGCGGCATTTTTGAAAAAGTCCCGATTTTTGGAAAGAATGCACGACAAGCTAGGGAACGGCTGGAGAACGAGTGCTGAAAAGGTTAATGTAACTCCATTTGGGAATGAAGAGGTTAATGTAACTTCATTTAGAAATGAAAAGGCTAATGTAAACTCCCTACTCCCCTCCTGGGCAAGGTTGCCCAGGTGGAATCAGTATCAGAAGGAGACTGGCCCCCCCCTCACTTCTAGACAAGGACAATTAGCTCAGAAGGAGCCAAACTGCCTGGAACAAACAAGTAGTTCCCCCCCACACACACCTGCCCTGCAGAGGGTCCCTAACCATAAACAGCTCAGCCAATAGCAGCCTGGCCTGACAAAACACCAATGAAATTCCTCTATGTGCTTTAAAAACCTCAGCTCACTTTACTAGGGGGTCGCCCTTCCTCCAGTCACGCTGAAGGGAAGACTGGCCCAGGCATATGCTTGCAAAATAAAGCACTTTTTATCTTTACATGTATGTGGTGGTCTCTCAGTGGCAATTCTTTTTTTTCTTTGAGACAGAGCCTCAAGCTATCCCCCTGGGTAGAG